CTTAGACTAAACGGCATTTAAAAAATTCACAGAGAAATAAATAAATACAATACATGAATGATATTTTGCCCTAAAAAGGAATAAACTTAAAACCCCAAAAAATAATAAAATTAGGTTTTAGAAATTCAAAAAATAATAAAATTAGAACACTAAAAAATTTCTATTACCTAGTAAATTCTGGCTCTCCAACGGGTACTTTTACAGAAATTCGTCAGTAGTTGTCACAAAAGGTGATCTTTATATTTGTAACCTGTATTTTTATTTTTAAAACAATAATTCTTGAACTAATTTTTATCCTTCCTCTTGCTCTCTCATCATTAAAAACAAATACCCACTTAATTCACACATTTTTGCATATTTGTTTGTTAGTCTCTTGACATTATTAAATTAGTGTCACTGCAATTTTGAAAAGATAGTTCTGTTCTTCACATTCATTCATTCACTGTTTGTTTGTTTTCTGTTTCTCAAAAGTTCCTGTTTTCCGTTTTTAAGCAGCACACACATCCTCACTCTCCGCTCTCTATTGGTTTCTCTTTTAGAAAGAAGAATATACTACTTTAAGACTCTTAACGTGTTTACTCACATCTACAAAGGCAAAAATATATTTTTGTTGAAATAAGTAGGTGTGTGTGTGTGTGTGTGAGTACGTGTAGGAAGACTGTAGGTGTCATAACTACAAAACTATGAAAAGGATTTTAAGTGTGCAAATGCAAAACAAACAAAAAAATATTTACAAGTATACCCAAGAGTAATTTGTTGAGGAATAGTTTGAAGGGAAATGAAATAAATAGAGAAAATAAAAATAGATAAAATATATTTAATAAAATTTAATTAAATTAAAAAAAAAACAGATATTTTAGTAATTAAAATGTAACCAATTTATTTGTTTATTTATTATTGTTGTTGATATTTTTATCTGCTTCCATATTTGTTGCTCAAAACCTTCCACCTGGTTTATTGAAATCAGGTTGCACAGGTCTATTTGGTGGTAGAGTGTGTGGTCTTCTGGTTCCTGAAATTGGTTTCTGTGGCCCAAAGGCATTAGCCAAAGGTGTAATAACGGCCAATACCGCCAATGCAATAACAAAAATGTATTTAATGGCTTGCATTTTGAATATAAGACAGCTGGAGACGAACGTAAAATTACTGATTAGTCGCAAGCTACCAAGCATGATTATATACGCTTGGTTTTTTCCTTATCACTTTCAGCGCATACAAGGGGAATCACTGCTGTGGGAAGTACCGAAGCCGAAGTGTTGGCTTTGTTTTGAGTTTATTTTATTTTTTATTGTTCAAATAGAAAACAATAATTTAAAATTATTGATAAGTATGTGTCATTGTGATCTCGATGGGCGAATTATATCATAAATATTATAATTACACTGTGCAGCAAATTTAGTTCATAATCATAATTATCGGGAAATTCCAAAATATTATGATAGAGAGGAAAAATAGATGACACGTGTATTGGTATTTTGAAAGTTTACGTCGGGAGGTAACCTAAGAAGGCAATATTTTCACTGTGGCGATATTTCCCCTTTCTAAGACATTTGAAAATATTCGTAATAAGATTCCTCGAAATACTTGCAATTTAGGTAAATGGTGTCTTTGGCAATATTACTGAGGAATATTTTCGTCAAATACATTAACCCTCAGTCGACCCTTGAAATCTCATTTAAAACGGGGTTATAGCAGGTCAGAATATTCTACAAAAATATTCGCCATAGAGGGTTACTTCATGTCTCAGAATATACCAAAACTCGAAAATGAGCCTAAAATTTTAAAAATATGAGAACTCATTTTTGGGGTTAGAACCGCTCTTATGCCGAGTTTGCATAAATTTTTCCCACTAGATGCATGGTATGAGCATGGTATAAGGGACAAAAATATTCTACAGCAAATTTTAGTAATCGTCACTGAACAAGAGAAATTGATATATATATATAACTTCTCAAAACTTTATTCGAACTCTTAAGCATAGTTCTTATTATATATAGTATATATGTATAGTTCTCCTCCTCTGTTTTATATAAATAAAAAACACATTAAGTATTTTGTTTAATTATATTTTGTTTGTAATTAATAACTATATTTTTGTTTAATAAACATTTAAAGTTGTTTTTTGTTTGTCTGTTTTTTATATTTTTGTTATTTATATTTTGTTTTGTTTCTCTTCGTCTTCTTTTTTAAATATATATCATTATTTTTTTGTTCTTTTATATTTTTTGTTACTGTTGTATATTAGATTAGTTTTTTTATTCATTAAGTATTTTGTTATTTTTTGTTGTTATTTTTTTAGTATGTATATATTTAATTAAATGTAAATAATATCAATTTGTTGCTAGATTTAATCAATGATCTATTTTATTTTTTGGTTTGGTTTTCATTAAACTTGGTTTTAAACACTTTCTTCAAACTTAAAATAAAACCTTTTAGAACAATAGTAATAATAAACTAATAAAATTATTTAACTAATATATGTTTTGGTAGTTGCTTTCTTTTTTAAATATATACCCTTTTTGCAGGAAAACAAACAAAAGAAACCCTTCAATTTGGATAGTATTTTTACATATCTGTTTTTTAATATAATTTTTGGTTTTTGTTTGAACATTCTATATGAACTTCGTTTTGTTTGCTTATTATTTCTTTTGTTTTTTTTTTTTTAAATTTTTAAACATATAATTTATGTATAATAGTACAATAGTTTTTTGTTTTAATATTGTTTAAGATAATGTAAACATTTAAAATATTTGATTACTATGAGGCGGATTTTCATAATATCAATTTGTTGCCATTCTTTTTACGTTCAATGCTGCTTTGAAATATCTCCTTTTTCTGAAGATCTATTCAATCGCTTTCTACTCTTACTCTCTTAGAGTAAATATTCGTATTACTTCATACTCCTGCTCTCTCTCTCTATCATTTACCTTCCAATATCATTGTTTTCTTCTCTTACTTACATTATAACGGACCAGAGAGGACTTTTGTTTGTTTCATTGTTTATTTTTTTATCTCTTACATTATAACGGACCAGAGAATGTTCGGTTTTGTTTTAGGAGATCTTGTTACATGTACATACATTTACTCTTGTATATGTATGCGTGTGTTTGTCTTTATGTTGTAATAAAGGTAATTAATCTTTGGTTTTGTTAAATGAGTGATAGGTATATGTAAGTATGTATATTTTTATATTTTATTACTTGTGTAGGTATGAATATATATATGTTGGTATGTATGTATATAATGTATATATATTTTATATATATGATATAATGGCTTTATTTATTAGGAGTATAAATAGAATATCTTAGAAGGTACAATACTAAGGTATGTTGTATGTGTTGTATGCATTGTTTTTGTTTTTTTTTTTATAAATGTAAATGCAAGACGTTTTTTGTGAGCGTGGTTCATGATATAGATGTATGAGTGTGGGTTTATGTATATGAATATTTATTTTATGTAGATGACATGTGAGAATGTTAACGAAAGTGATTGCTGTTTTGTGTATGTGTTTGTGTTTGTGATTGTGATTTGCTTTCATTTTCATTGCACGTTGTAATGTTAAGCAACATATTCTAATTAGAAATCAAACAACAAAAACAAAATTTGTTTATTCTAAAAGAGAGAGTGCCTTGTCTATTTCTCTGTTGTGTGTATGTGCGAAAGTGGTTAAGAGTAAGTAGAGAAAATAAGTTAGCAGAAAATATTTTAAATATTGTTGTTAGTTTTAAATAGAAAAATATAAAAAAAAAACATTTTAAAAAGAATTAAATTAAAGAAAAATTTGAAACGAAATTTTTATTATTATTATTGAAGAAAAAGTTCCCTAACAGACTTTCGGCCTCGTCTCACAAATATGATGTTGGACGATCGAAGAGTAAAAGCTCGTGAATTTCTTGGCGTTATAAAGAGTTCATGTGATGGGAAGCTATCGATATTACTGATCGTTTGGTTTACAGAAACGTAGTTGTAGGGAAGGTTTATAGAAATTAGCCTGCAGGGAAACTTAATTCGTTTATAACCTTAAATTTTAAATTCAAAATTTTAATTACCACTTAACCACTTTCTACTGCTATTTGTTTAAGTAATTATCTAAGTATGTGTTTGTGTTTTCTTTTTTTCTTATTGGTGTTGTGTTGTTATTCTCCGCTTTGTAAACTTATGGACCATTTTATTTTTTGCTGTTGTTGTTTTAAAAAAATACATTTATATTAAAAATAGTTTATACATTTATAAATTATGTATGTATATTTATGAGTTTTCATATATATATATTTGTTTTTTTTTTCTTGCTTTGGTTCCATGGATCTTACGAATTTGTGTTGTTCAACATAATTATTTTCCATTTGCTGTGATATTTTGCAAAAAATATGCAATTGAAGAAATATATTTTTATCAAAAAACATTAAACTGATTTCCAAAATAAATTACAATAACATTTTCCTTACTAGCAATTAATAAATTAATCCAAAAATAAATAAATAAACACAAATTCTTAAATAAGTTAATCATTTTATAGGCCAATTTTTACGATATGTTTCTGTTAGTTTTTTTTCTGTTATTCCTTTTTTTCAGTTTCAATTTCTGCTTTCTTCCCATGCTGATATTTTTTTGCGTTTGCTATAATTTTTTTTTTCGTTACGAATCTGTAGCTCCTTGCCAAGTTTTTTTGGTTTGCCTGTACATAAGGTATATAAGTGATTGTATATAGTGGTTGTGGAATATATTTATATAGTAAGTGTATATTAGGTTTATTCTTTTGCAGTTATAACAACTAGTGGGTCTTTTTTCATTCATATAGGAAATCATTGCTTAACGAACAAAGTGTTGAGGTTTTACTCAAAAGATCCGAGGGGGAAAATAAATTCCCATTGTAAATTGTTTGTTTAGCTACAAAACACAGTTTCCGGTTAATAATATTAATAAGCTATTATAAATAATTCTATTTTTCTTTTGTACTGGATTTCGGAAAACTGTAAAGATAACTTGCAATTTTATCTATAAACATTATCTAGAAAAACAAAGCCAACTGATAAATAGAATTAAATAATAAATTGGATGGGTAATGATGTGATGCAGCTGATGATGATGATGTTGATTTAATGGCCTTATTGTGTGCCAAATGGGTTACCACCGGGAATATCCAAGTTGCCGCCAGTGGTCTGATACGTGCCATAGGCAGTGCCATTGGGATTCATTTCGTTGAGACGGGTATTGGATAAAGCACGCGGTATGGGATTGCTGGGTACACCATGTGGAGCCAAATGGGAAGTTTCCTCAGCCACCTGGAAACAAAAAACAACAAAATTAAAATAGAGGATACATTTTTCAATTTGATTCTCTCTCACCTGACGCGGATCCTCAGTTGCTGGAATTTCCGAAATAAAACCTTCTTCTTTGCGATAGAAATTCACGAATATAAAGAATCCCAGTACAAACAGACAACAAATACCATACCAACGGAATGTGGCCGTAGTACCATAATACGTCACAAACATACCGCCAATGATGGCACCACAACCACGCCCCAGTCCATGATGTATACCCTGCAAGACACCCTGTGATGATCCCCTCAAATGTTTTGGGGTATTATGGGCAATATATGAACAGGAGGCAGCCCACACAGCAGCATGAGTAATACCTTGCATCAGTTCGAACGGCAATACCATCCAGGGATTTGAAATATACGAAATATACAGGAAACGTATAACATTACCCATCAGGCCCAAACACAACACCTTCACATGGCCAATTTGTGTTATCAAACGGAAACTAAAGAAATAGGCAAATATTTCCGATACGTGATTAATAACCGAAGCCACACCGAACAAAGTTGGTGAACCGCCGAAATCCTGCAGATGCCAAAACAGGAAAGTGAATATCAAACCAATACCGAAACCCATAAACCAGGCCACAAACAGGAATGAGGCTGTCTTCAAATCTTTAATGTGGGTCAGCACAGTCATCCATTCAGGCATTTCTTTGTTAGTTTGGGCAAATATTTTCGATTCGGCACCCATTGATGGTGTGGGTCCAGCTGCCGTAGTCCCCGTTGTTACACCACTGCTACCACCACCTACTGCCAGAGAGGGCAAATTCAATTGGGCAGCCAATTGATTCATCGATTCTTCTTCTGCCTTTTTATTGGGATCAATAACATCCTGCTGCACCTGAGGTTCCAATTCTATGGGATCATATTTAAATGTAATCTTTGTGGCGGATATAATGGCACAAGTCATGAGTACGGTGAAAATCGCGAAACAAACATTGTAGTTCTTTTCCATGTGTCCGGCACCGCAGGGATGATGTGAAAAGGATGTAGAATGATCCAAAACAATACCGACAATGAACATGGAAATACCCCAGCCCAATGAGCCGAACATACGTTGATGGCCATACTTATCGGAATCCTCGCCGAGCAGGGTAATAACGGCAGAATCGGCGAGTGTAATGGCAGGAGCACTAAAGAATTCGCCAATTAAAATAACCAGCAGCAGGAGGAAGAAAGCTTTTTGAATATCCTGCAAAGGAAGGAAAGAAACAGATAAAATGTTAAAACAACAAAAAAGACAATTTTAGTAATAGGATATTTTTGAGGATTTTCTACTTTAAAATCACAAATAATATGTTTGACAGAGGGGTCTACGATCTGAAACGACGGAGTCATACTCGGCCAACTTCTGTCCCTTCAGTCCATTGTGTAAAAGCAAACTAACTTTTCAGGGTTAAATCGAGACTGAAGTTAAAATTCAAATTTAAATCCCATCGTTCCATCCCCACTAAAGATCCCATTACTCAGACATATATTAAAATAATCATATCAACTTACCGGTGTCCTATAAACCATGCTAGAGAAAATCGGTGTTACATAGTCATTATGCTCCTTGGCATCATAGTTGCTTACAAAACGTATATGGACGGGTGAAATGCCAGCATCAATTCGGGGAAATATTGAACGTTTGCGTCTAAAATAAATTTTATTCGAAATTTAGCACAAATATCTTCAAAAATAATACCACCTCCCTACCTTGAATGTGTTTCTTCTTCCAACTCATCTGACATTGGTTTGGTAAGAGCTGCCTCTATGGCCGATTCATTATCGAATGTTTCAACACTGTCACTTTGCAATTCGGCCATATTAAATGCTGACAAATCACGTTTCGAACGTGTATAGGTCAATACAAAACCGGTGGCGTTACGTTCTATACATTTGACCGGTTCGGGTTTAATAAAACTCAAGGGGATGGTAAACAAAATCCAACAGGCCAATGAGCCTAGCAGCAACTTTTTTCCTTGGCGGCATCTGTAAAAGAATAATAGCGATACATTATTTTCGAAGTGAAGAGAGAGAATCTGATAATTTTTAATACACACCTATCTGCATAAGAACCCCAAAATGGTGCCGACAAAAACTCCACAAATGGACGCATACCAATTAATATACCTAAAATGTAAATAAAAACAAAATTAACATTAGTTTATTTGAATTTGAGGTTAAGAACGAACGTTTTACACCATAACTTCAATATGACTTCAAGAGTGAGGTTATGATTTAAAAAATAATATTTACAAAAATACGTTTTAAATAGGATGAACATTTTATAAAGCAATTTAACATAACCTCAATTTTGTTATTTTCTAAAACCACATTTTATAAATTTAAAATTATAACTGATTATTTTTTTCATATTTTTGTAAACTTCCAAAATGTATTCACTTTTTTGTTTAATTTAATATCTAATAATTTTTAACTCACCACACTGTCCCGGATTCATGCCCATTTGTTTAAAATAGACACCCATCAAAGGGAAAAGAGAACCAAATGCAGCATAGAAGAAAAAGTAAAAACTTTTCACTGGTATCAATTCATGTTCTGTGGGGCCAAACAGCATTTCCACAACATCGGCATGGCTGCGTATTTTATTGGTAGCCTCCTTGGGTTCAGGATAACTGAAACAAAATCCCACAATTAAATTTCACTTCAAATCCCTTAAAATTTATCTCACTTACAGATTTGGATCAACTTCCCCTTCGGCCTCAATATCAACTCTTGGTCTGGCAGCCACTCCAAACGGTTGCTGGGGTATAGCTATTCCTGCTCCTCCATAACCTGCAGCATCTTGACCATAACCACCACTACTTTGATCATAGCCTCCACCATAATCTCCAAATGTTGGCTGCTGCTGTTCATAACCACCACCGCCGCCTACACCAGCGGGATTACCGAAAGGATTTGCTCCACCACCATATTGATCCATTATGGATTATTTGTTTTATTTCAACCAGACCACCAGTCGTCGTTTTAAACACAAACAGTTTTAGCCAGCAGCCTTAAAATTTTTTGTATCTAAATAAAGATTAAAAAGGAGGGAAAAGTATTAAAAATTAATCGCAAAAATCGTCAGAATTTCAGGGTATATTTCGATGAGATTCTTAATAATATGGCGCCCAACGTGATCCAAGAATCCACAATCCCGAATTCAGGTTTGGAACTGTCCATGAGTAATATCAACCTGGGCTAGCAGTACTTTAACCACGGGGCCGAAATAGATTATCCATAACAATATCCTGAGTTCAGGTTTTGAACCCTACTTGAGAAATGCCAACCAGAACTAGCTAGACCCTAACCAGAGTCCCGAATAAAGTAAATCGTAAATATATGTCGCCCAAGGATAAGCAAGAACCCACGACACTGAGTGCAGGACTGGAACCGTTCTTGAGAAATGCCACCCTGAGGTAGATGGGCCTTAACCACAGTGCTGAATAAGGTGAATCTTAACAAAATGGCGCCCAACGTGAGCCAAGAATCCACAATCCTGAGTTCAGTTTTGGAACCGTCCTAGAGTAATACCATTCTAAGCAAGCGGGACCTCAATCAAAATGTGGATCATAACAATATATCATTTTTGTATTTTTAAGAGCGAGAAAACAAACACTGGCATTAATGCCAGTATTTCTTTTTAAATTATTCTATTTTCTAATATTTATATAATAACATTTTTGCTAAGTGGGTAACTTGGGATTTCATTTTGAGAGAGTTGGTTGAGCATTAACATCAATAACCATATGTAAATAAATCTGCATCCATCCTTCGGATGTTAAATTGATGGCGTCACACTTGCTGCCCACATCTTTTTGGGGCATTCATTGCCAGACAAGGACATGGTACTTGCCAAAAAATTACAACAACTATTTCAAATTAAAGAAAACAAATTAAAAAAATAAAATAAAATATTTTCCAATCAACGCAAAAAAAATCTGCAGACTCTGTGTAATTTTTTTGTTTACTAAACATTGACATTAAAGCTTAATTTTTATATAATCCGCCAATGACCCTCTTCCTTACTTACTGTTGTGTCTGTCACACATTTTTTCTTTTTAATTTGTTTTTATTGCTTTTTTCTTTGTTGTTGCCTTGCACTTGTCAAATGTTGTGCTGAACTGGCTGGTTGGCTACCATGAATGGATGGATGGTAACTGTCAAAAAAAAAACCCAATTTTTATATAGATTTTTTGTAGGTATACTCACTTCAGGTTTTCATATGAGAAAAAATGAACCCCCCAAACACATGGAATAATCTGCTTAGTTTGCAAAATTTTCATCACATACCAAATGAAATTCAAGGTTATCACTACAAAAATGGAATATTTTTTTAAAAAATGTTTACTTAAACACTATGCCACACAAAATCGGTTGCCCTTTTAACAATTTTTAATTGTTCTTTTTAGTTTCTTTTTGGAACATCGAAACGAAAAATCACTGAACCAAAGGAATGTTGTAATTTTTTTCTGTACACTTTGCCAGTTGTTGGTCTTTGAAAACTTTGTTTCCTTGCAAAAAGAAACCCACACTATTACCTTCTTTTAATTTAATACTTTTTGCTTTTTAGTCATTGATTACGTTCTTAACTATAATAATTTTTTTAATTTCCTGCTGAAATAATATTATTTTCTATATTTCTATTTCTATCGATTTTACCCGTGATTGTTCTGTTTGTGTTGTACGCTTACTGTAAGGCCAGACTAAATCCTATGCTGTTGTGTTAGCTTTTTTCCCCCAATATCTTCGTTTTTTTCTCTTCAAAGCTTAAAAGCTTGTTTTCCTAGTTTCCTCATTTCCTTTTCGGACTTGAAAAAAATCAACAACAAACATCCCTCAGCCATTACCTGTCATTTGTATTTAAGTGTTAGTGTGTGGGGGTTAAATAGCAGTCTGTTAATTTTGTAACAGTAAGAGAGAGGAAGAGAGAGTGAATCTGAAGATTATTTTAACAGTGGACGTTCATTTTGAAATATTTTTATTGTTTATTATAGCAAATAATAAAATATAAAAGAGAAATAATTTAATTTTTTATTTCCTTTCAAGAGAGGGATTTAAAATATTAAACCTCTACAATCCTCCACCATTAGAAATGCCTAAAATAGGTCAGACTTCAATCATGCCAATTCAATTCAGGATTCCACGAGGTAATAAAAATATGTGGAAAGTGGACTAATTTCCGGTTTATAGAAATTACATTACAGAAAAACTTTTATTGAAAGCTTTGTTAGTGTTAAAAGTTAACATAAATCCTACAACACTTTGCACCCTAAACCACCCCCCTCATTTTTAGACATGCGCCTCTACCTACAAACTTTGTTAACACGGCGGCAGAATGTATGGCGCCTGACAAAACAATAACAAAAAATTCCGGACATTCCATCTGTCATTTGTCAGCAGCATCAGAATAATGACATGTAGATTCCGTTATTATAATGGAATCCTTTTAAACCTAAAGTACTTCCGTATTGTATTGTTTATGGGAACAATTGAGGGTATGTTTTTAGTGATGATAATGAGGGGGTACTTCAAGAAAACAATAATCAACCAGGAAAATAGCAATTGACCGTTAAATATGCAAGAGAAACACAATAAATGGAGATGATAGAAAAAAGGATGAAAACTTTTTTAGAACAGTGTCTAGAGCTTGAGATGTATCCCTATGGTAATGTAAATCTATAAACTAAAGCTACAAATGTATATAGTATTCATTCCAAAAGAAAACCAACAATAACTGAACTATCGCATATTTTAATTTACTTAAGGAAGAAATCAGGGGAATTACCCCAAAGGGGAAGTAATTGTTTTCCAAGAATATTTAAATATATTGTCTTTGGTTATTAAGTATTGCCTTATTACAGTCGGGAACCCCCTTGCGATGTCATCACTTGTCTTCTATTTTCAAAAGACACTGATTAGAATACGAAACCACATTCACAATTACATACACATTGACATTTATTAATGAAAGACTATGTATAAAAACCTATACTGAAATGCTAGACCCTATCAGTTGTCATTCGAAACCCTTTGAATAATCAGCTACAATTCAATATGAAATTCTTAATCTTGGTTGCAGTTGTTGTTATTGCATTATTTGGTGCCTTGATTGAAGCCAATCCTCAGAGAGTGAGAATACAAACATTACCCTACTATCCACCACCCACCAGGCCACCACGTCCAATTCTGGTTTGAATTTGAAGACATAAAAAATATATTGGTCTACAACAAAAAATGTAAAATGATTTAAAAATAAAAAAGCAATAAAGAAAATGCGTGAATTTAAATTTGTTTAAAACTTAATACATTAGATATCGGATATAAGAAACTCAAAAATGCCGGAGATTTCTTTCTTATATGCGTTTTTTCTTATATGGAATTGTCGAATATAAGAAAGTATAAATATTTTTGATAATCTTTCATATATGCGATTGTTTGTTATAAGATGTGCTTATATCCGATATCTATTGTAACTAGGGTAAATAAAATTAGTTGAATGGCATTTCAGAATATTCAGGCAAGGAAAAACAGATCAAATTACTTGAATGGTATTTCAGAAAAGTCAGGCTAATTATTTTTATGTAAATATGTGTATATGTATTCACATAATGTTTTTCATATTTTTCTTTTATACAGTTTTTGTGAGAACAATTTTTTTCTCTTGCTTTTGAATTCTATAAAAAATCCAATACTTTGCCAGTTTCAATTCAATTAAAAATACCTTAGTATATTTTTAAGTTTTTTTTATTATTTTTTATTATTATTACTTTTATAGATTAATTTATTGTTTATTTTTTAAGCCAATCAAATAAGGGGCAGACTATTTTCGACGATATTCGTAAAGGTTTCTTTCGGCTGTGGCTTCTTTTATATAAAAAAATTGTTGTTTATTTTGTTATTTGTTATTTTTTTTTTCATTTAAATATCGTTCATCACTTGTTTTCAAGAAGAATACCATTTTTTGAATTAAACAATTAATAAGAAAAAATTATAAGAGAGTTTTTAATGCCGGTTTCTTGCTTGAACTATGGAAATTTCCAATGAATATATCTTGCTTTGAAAAAACGGAAATATTGGTGAGAATTGTGGTTGGTTTGACGTTACAGGAATGGGGGAAACTGGCTGGCTGGTTGTTTTGTTGATAGGTTTGTTTATGTCTATGACAATTTCTTGGCCTTCTGATATAGGGTATCGACAACTTTGCCCATGTTTTGTATGGTCTCTAAAACACGTTCGTAGGTTTTGTCGGTGGGAGTCTCTTCGAAAACAATTAAAACTCCTTCACCCTGATCCAAGATGCCCAGGAATTTCTTATCCAAAATCATTTGTGACAATTTCTTTTCCACCTGTGGCATGGGCAATTTAATGCAATCGGCAACGTGGGAGACCTGAAAGAAAATACAATTAATAATTTTGTGAATTTTTAAAAATTAATTTAAAATACATACTTGCACACGAGAATAGGGTTCAATGATGCGACAAAGATTCTGTTCCAACATGGTATCATATAGAGTACCCAAGTGAGCCTTAACAATAACATCTTCAGCCAATTCCTTGTGATAATCCTTCAAGGCCTGTTGGAAGTCAGCCAAAGAACGTTTGTGTGAGGCCTCGGCAACTGATTTCATGGCATCAATATCGCGACCTGAATATGTAATGGCCTGCAATAAAACATATAATTTTCAATATTGTTTACATTTAAAGGATTTATTGTAGCTTACCAATTTTCCGCTAACAATTTGATTAACATCATCCGATTTACCTAACATAATTTTGCACAACAACATATATTTGAGAGCGGTCAATGCCTTGTTATTGTCCACACTATCGAAACCCTCAAAGGCCTCATAGAAATAGGAGAAGGCTGTCTTGAAATCACGTTCATCGGCGGCGTGTAAAATACCCGATTGCAGATCCAATGAGGCCTGCACTTTTGGAGGACAATAAATGGCATTTGCTGTGGTACGGGCAGATGTTAGAGCAGCACGAGCTTTTGGTAAATTACTTAAAGCATGATAGGTTTTACTTTCCAGCAGTTGTACCTCAACCAAAAGGTTTTTATCATCCAATTTTTTCAATTCTTTGAGGAGTTGTGAACCCAATTGCAAAGCATCGGTGTACATGCCAGTGTCAAAGTAGAGAGCAATCAGACGAGCCTCCAAACTCTGACGTAGGAAGGTGCGTTTTTCCTGTTTAGCCCATTCAATGCAATCTTTACATAATTGAACCTGGAAAAAAGTTCAGAAATATAATAAAATTTGAATATACAAAATGAGAAAAGACATTTTAAAATTGTGGGTAGGAATTTAGACTCCTATCATCACAAATGAAAAAGTTAACAATAATGTAGGCCAGATAATTTTATTATAAAATATTTTATAAAGGTTGTCTTCCAAAGACATATTTCCAAATAAATGTTTGTAGTACATTTGTTTCAAATCCGTTAACACTGCAAATATTGCGCATTTTACTAATTGTCGAATCTACGCAACCTCATTGTTTACCAATACAAGGACAACGCACAATGCAAATTCATCTCAATGCAAATAATGACTGACTTTGCATTCAGTCCAATGACCTTCTGATGAATTTGCTTATTCATCACCGCGCTAAACTTACCTCAATACCGGTGCCAGCATCCATATCCAGGAACATATCGACCAAAGATCTCACCAACTTTGCAGCCTTTGCCTTACTGATCAAACTAAGGAAGGGGCGGGTAACTTTAATCAAATCGGCCAACTCCTTGGCTTTGCCCTCCTGTTTGTAGAGTTCACCCAACTGCAAGATGCCCTGTTCCTTGATGCGTATAAGCTCCTCATCATTTTCGGCAACTTCTTGTTCTCTGATGATTTTGTTCAATAGTGAAATGCCTTCCTCGCGGTTGACAGTTGACAGAGCTTGTGCTCTTTCAAACAAAGTAGCTCCGGCCATATTTATTTTGCTAACCGAAAAGAAATTTTTGCAAAACAAAAAACTCAATAAATTCGAAGATATTTTTCCAGTTAATAATGGTTGATGGACTTACCGTTGTTTAGAAAACTTATACTGTAGTAAAATTTGCTTGAATTTCTAGAACTCTTCAATGAAATGAATTTATTATAACCACCTCTTAACAAAAATTCGCTTTTTATTATTGGTTTTTGCCAGTCATAATAGGGATCTATAGTTCTGTTTGCTGCTAATCGGTTTTTTGCTGTTGCGACTAATCGATAATTGTTTGTCGACTATAATTTGCGCTCTCTCCCTCATCTGTTTAATGACTACAGACATAGCTAATATAAGTTAAAAAATATAATTATATAATTTAATAATAAAATACATTTTAATATTAAAAACAAAAAGATTTAATTCTATTTGTTTTTAAAAAATAATTAAAAACATTGATTGCTATTAACTTATATAGGTATTTTAATTGGGATAATAGTAGATTATTGTAAGTTGTGAAACAGAGCAAATGAAAGAAGCATCCAATAATTAAATGTGTATTTTTATTTTAAAGTCAACTAAAATATTAACATCTCTTTTAAAATATTACTTATTTCAGGTTTAATTGTGATTCTAATGCATAAATCAAAAATGCCGGTATTACATAAAAATTCATCTTGCATGTCTATTTTCAATTATATTTCATCCGGAAAAAGTTTAAAAAATAACCCATTAACATAATTAACATTATAATTATATGAGTTATGGCTATCATCCATTGAGTGTGCCCTATCCATTGATTGTGTGTTATCAATTGAAAGTGAATTGTAACAATTCACAATACCACTATTGTGAATGAGTCTCCCAAGTGAAATGTAAACAACAAACGATTGTGACAGTAAATTATTTTCTAAAGAATAAAATATCGACAATTATTAGTATTTCTTATTAAATATACTAGCTTTAAAATAAACAAATTTGCACAAATATAGATTAGTTAACTTGTAAGTAAAAATGGTAGAAGAAACAACACAAACGAATCGGTCAAGGTCGAAAATGGCCCGGCCTAAACCTGTGTATTTGTGGACCGTAGTCGATGTCTTGAAATGGTTTCGACGCGTAAACAGTGAATATTTGCATTATTTGGAATTATTCTCCAAGGTAATTTAGAAACACTTTCATGCAAAGCAATATTTAAATAACATCAATATTTACCTTACAGAACGATATTACGGGCAGGGCATTGTTGCGCATCAACGATTCGTCTCTGAAACGAATGGGGGTAACTAACAATCAGGACCGTGAAGCAATTTGGAGAGAAATTGTTAAACAAAAACTCAAGACTGATATTATGGAAATTCGTGATATGGAACGTATTGTCAATCAACATTCTATGGCCAAAATTACACATCCCAAAGCGTCGACAGCGGTAGCACAAAAATAATTGTCGAGGGAGGGGAAGAGTAGAAATTTTGTTTTCTTTTCTATGGAACAACGAAGTACGTACATACATACATAGATAAATGATTAGTAAGCGAACATACTCGAAAATCATCTCTACAAAAAAAACCAAGAACAACAACAACAAGTGAAACACTCAACAACAACAAACAACAAGAAAATACACAACACCAAGTGAGCGGTTGTACAACAAACAAAACAAACAAGTGCTGTAATTTAAGATAAATTTTTAAGTTTAGAAAATTAAATTAAATATACCAAATGAATTACATTCATATTCTATATGATATATATAATATATACACACATACATATAATTAATTAATCTTTAACAATTTTTTTGGAATAAATATCAAATATTCTTACATAAATTGAAATGTATTGTTGTTGTTATGCAAATATTATTGTTTACTGTTATCTAGCAGATAATCTTTTAGATTCATCAGTGTAACTGACCTTAGACTACTAAATGAAGATGGAGGGTCTAAGATCGCACTTTTTTTTAATTCAAATTATAATAATGAGGTAAAATATTATTGATGTAAATGATTTTCTGTTTAATACTCTATCAGTATGACGTCTATATTGAATTGTATAGGGTTAGTGCCATAAGAAAGTAAAATATTAATTATTTATTTTGGATTTTATTACAACAAAATATACAAATACTTCGCTAGGAAAATTTGAATATATTGATTGATTAAAATTATATTTTGTGTTTAATATTCTAAATGATGTCGATATTGAATTGTATAGGGTTAGTGCCATAAGGCAGTAAAATTGGGACAAGGCAGGCATTTAAAAATATTTAAAACAAATACTTCGCTTGAGAAAACTTGTTTAAATAAATCTGTCTGAATTTTTAAAATAATTTCCAAAGGGTTTAACAGACAAATTGTCGATTTTTGTATTTGATCCCTTCAATATTTATGATAGGATATTATTCCGTTTTTGGTTAAAATAAAATCTGGGATTTTTTTTTAATTATCGGTTGAAAATATGACAAACTATCACATACCAACATTTTTTTAATTATCGGTTGAAAATATGACAAACTATCACATACCAACTAGATATGCATATTTTTGTCCGAATTGCCCGATTTTTGAAACCTTTTTTACCCGAAAATTTCGTTAAAAACTCCAGCCCCATACAAGGGTACAAAAGAGAAACCTTGCTTATCTATAAAAGAATGGTTTCTAATTTTTTTCCATTAAAATAATCGCCATTATTCTTTAAAAACATCTAAAGTTGGCATCACTTTTCATATTTCCTCTAATCTTTACATGTGTGTTGGAAGAATATAGTACAAAATTTACTTTTTGTCCCATTTTTAAATCAAAATGTACAAGCCGTTTAATATTTGAGATACGATTTCGACAATAACAAATATATAGGAGAAACCTCAACACATTGCCTCTTAAAGGACAGTACCTTTATTGTGAATAGTCATTTTATGCGAGTAGTGGACGAACATTTTTCTTTTTATTATTTGGGATAAAGAAAAAATAACATTGATGAGAGAAAAAAATATGATGAAAATAGTTCACACTTTGATTACTAAAAATGTGTATCGTTATTGTGAATTGTCATTTAACAATAACATTTTTAATATATCAGTATTATTATTACTTGGTACTTTCTACATTATATTTGAAATGCAACAACGCCGCCCCCCATTATTATCCAGAAACTACCAATTTCGTACCAATAGTTGTACCCTCAACCCGCATGCCATCTCTGTTCTATACTTTTCTTCAGTGTTCGCTTCTGTTGAGGTTCAGTTTACATTTGGATCTCAGTGAGTGTGCTACGCCATTGGCGGTAAGAAGTTGGCAACGGAGCCAGCAAAGTATGGATATACCACTACTATTTATGTGGCGACTAATTAACCAAATAGGAAACAACAGAAAAAAATTATTAAATCAAAAAAACAAAAATTTCAAGTGAAATAAATTTCCCCCAGAAAAAATTCTCTCCAAACGATTTTTTATTGTGAAAAAATAGATTTTCGGATTTTTATTTCTGAATTTTCGCAATATTTTTTCTTCTATTAATTCGTTTGGTTTGTTGGAGGAGAGTGTGGAGTGAGTGTGTGTGTTTTGTGAATTATAGTGTGTGCTCTGTGTGCCATCAATACGTTTTTTAATTCGTGGAAAAGAGAGGCGCATATCCCCGGTTGGAAAAATGTAAGTATAGTTATCTCTTTCGCTCGTGTGGTGTTTTGTTATGGGGGGACAGTTATTTATTTTTTTCGGTGATGTTTAAACTTTTGTTTTTATTTAGTATTTCTTGATAGAGCCAGGGTTGCCATGTTCCAAGAATATGCCGTGTTTTAAGGCAAACTCTTGGGGGTAAATGAAAGAAAGAAACGTATAGAAAAACAACAAGAACAACATGCGTAGTGTTATCAATTGTTGTTGTAAAGTTAAAAGGTCGTGTACAACAACGTCGACGACGACAACAGCACACACACACACAGCTTTAATGATAAACGTTTAAAAGAGGCAATTTTATTTTTATAACACATAAAATATATTTATTTTGTTATTTTTTGTAATTAATGTTTGTAAACAAAAATATAAATAAATAAATTATTAAATAAACAATGGGGGAAATGCATTAAATAATTAAAAAATATACGTAAAGCTTGTGCGACATATTACATGTGTGTGCCGATAAAAATGTTCATAAGTAACCGTTATTTATTTGAATACTGGTGTATCCGACTACTTCCGATTTGCTGATATTTGGAGTTCAGTATTTTAAAATGTGATTATTTTATCTGAGCAACATGATCATTTTTTATTAGTTTTAAAAAATGGAAATCATTTTGATTTCGCCATTTTCTAAAATTGTTTAATGAAAACGGTTTATTGTTTTGACATTATAAAGAGAATATCCGTCTGTTGCTCATTAACACATTTTTGGAAAATAAAATAGTAAATTCACTTAAATATAAATACGGTCTGAAGCCAAATTCTTAGTCTATAAAAATGTTATGATACAAAAATTTAAAAAAAAATTATAGCCCGTTTTTATAGAATTTTCTAGCAACTCAGTCCGCTAAAACGCTTCAAATGCATCTAAAATTGTTGAACAATCATCCGAATTGTATCCGCTTGTCATTAATTCAACATGTGATGAAATAGTAAACGCCATCGGTATGTTATATCGCAACTGCATCAATTCATATTTTGTTTGTCGTTTTAAAAACTAGACCGTATGGACTCGCTGATGTAAATCTGCTGATTATTCCTCAAACTGTTTACAATTGTAAATTAATCGTATGAAAACGTGAACAAAAATTGTTCTAATTCAACCTACGGCCATAACAACTTATATTCATTCATATTTAGTCACTATATAATTTTTTTTCGGTTAGTATTGAAACGATTTCCTCTGTTGCAGAATATTCTATTAATAGAAAAAATTGTACAAATTTGATAAGTTTTAGCAAAGAACAATTAATTCCTATAATGGGCCTTAGAAAATGGTTACAATTTTTATTACAAAAAAAAAATATTTTTTCTTTATTCATCAAAAAAAGTTTACCAGAGATACGTCCACAAAAATAATGTAATTTTTAATTGTTCCTTTTATATGTAAATTGTATCTTACAAATTATTTATTTATAAAATACTCGTCACTGTTTTATCTAAGAATTCCATTTTCGATTTTTATGTCCCTAATTTAGATCACCATGTCATTGAAAATGTCATTATACACGATCGAAATGCCAACTTCTTTTTCGAATGTTTTTTTTTCTCAAAATATTTTCATTAGTTCATCTGAGAAGAACAGCTGATTGCTTTACGAGCTATCAAAATTTAATTTAAAATGCAGAAAATGACAGGAATTAATCATAATGATGTATTTTTTCTTTGTGTCAAATTCTTTTTTCGATTTGCTAAACTTTGCCAACAGCTGATTACCTCACGAGCTGTCAAAATTGTATTTTCTTTTAAATGACGAATAAATATATGAATTCATTCACAATGGTGTATTGTTTTCTTTGCTAATCTCTTTAGTTGGCCTTCATAATTATTATTTTAATATTTAAATTTTAAAAAATTTACTACATCCTTTTTATATAAATTTCATTATAAATTAACACTTAATTAAATATATTTTTTTCATTTTATTTGATTTACATATCACCAACTAATTTATTCCACAAAAAAAAATACCATCTAATGCTAATTAAAACAAATTTTATTACACACAAATTTTCCCAAATGCATTACATTTGTTTTTGGTGAGAAAATGATGTTATATCTCTTCCGCTACTCGCACTCTCTTTCTCACCTTTCAATCTCTCACTCACAACTGTCCCAAAAATAAACAACAAAGAAATCAACAACGTCGACGACGACGAATCACTTTCTGTGATTTCAATTAATTTGCTATTGTAATTGAAGCACATTTTTTTGCGCCTTGACTTTGTTTTCTTTCCCTCCATTAAAGCGTTTAAATTTGCATAATTTCCATAAATTCAAACATGGCACAAAAAACATCATCGGCAACAGCAACAACAACCACACAAGTTTAGAACGAACTGAACAAAAAATAAAAACAAGTTCTCAGTGGGGTTCATTTTCGTTGTTGCTGTTTTTCGTGTTGTTGTTGTCGTTTTTTTTAATACGGATGGGCTCTGTAAGTTTGTTTGGACATGCATGGATGTGAGAAAAATTGGAAAGAGTGAGAGGAAGAGAGGAAATTCAAATGCTTAAAGCATGGCTTTGCTTTCGTTTGAAAGGTGGGCTTTTTTTGACAATATGGATGGATAGAATGGATGATAGATAAATTAAAAAGGGAAAAACGCAAGGGTATGGATGTATGGACCACAGGTAAAATGTGTTACAACAACAATTAGCAAGACAACAAGAAATGAGTTTGCACTCGTTGTCGGTTGGCGGCTCGGCTGCTCTCTCAGTAAGGGGGAGCAATGAGTGTTGAAAAGATTTAATCATTCGTCGTGTA